CTGGGAGCTGGTCCTGGACTCTGAGACCTGGGATCAGGCCCAGGTAGGCACACTGGACAGTCCTCTTCAGTGCCTGCTTGAGCTCACGGCTGAGAGAAGAGTCGTCCTTCACTGACACCTGCACAGAGGGTCCCAGAAACAACCAGTGCTGATGGACCAAACTAAAGGCCTTCAGTCACCAGGCAGACAAGACAGGTGAGGCAGGCATTGACTTGCTCCAGGAATAGGGAGGTTTCTGCCAAAGGCTGCATGCAGTGTTGTGGCTGGGTGGGAGGATATTCCATAACCCAGTGCTCCTAAGGCAAGATAATATCTATAGACAACAACATAAAGCAAGCAAGTATCCAGGTGCAGGGAAGGACCTTAACTTGCTTTCTGTGTGATACCAGACTTGTTCCTCATTCTACAACCTCTTTCTTACCGCAGCACCCTGGTTGTTCCAGGGAGAGGTCACTTCCCTCCCTTGCCCTTCCACTAGCTAACAAAGTGGGCCAGCCCAAGAGGTCTTTCCCAGCCTGAGGCACTGACTGCCTATCTCTCTGAACCTGCACATTTCTCTTTGTCTTTCTTTATCCATCTCTGTACACATCCCTCCCCTGCAAGGCAACCTGGGGTCTGATAAGCCCTCTGTTGCTCGGTAGGAGGGGTGGAGCAGGTGGTGAGCTCCCCATCCTTGAGGGATTGAACAGAGGCTGAGGCAGTGTGGGGGTTACAGGCACTCAAGTCAGCTTATTGTGAAAGGCAAACCCAGCGCTCGAGCAGCCACCTGGACAGACATGGGGTGAGGCTGACAGGGAGGTTCGCTATAGGATTCAGGGCCAGCATGGGAGCGTGTGTTCATGGAGCAACTCTCCCGCTTCCCAGGGGAGGTTGGCGATATGTATAATAAAACTTGCAGAGAGATATCAAATGAAGAACTGGGTCGAGGGGTAGCCCTTCCGACCATGGGACAGGGATTCTCCGATACAGATTGTAACTGCCGCCCCCCAAGAAGCCAGCACTGCAGATGGGAGGGGCACCCCAGACACCCTCCCGAGGGAAGAGGTGAAACCCACCCTAAACATAGCTACACAGAGGGGCTCTGCTCAAAGAGAGGCCCAGCTTCTCCTCTGCCATTTGCTGGCTGCAGGCAGCTCCCAACCTGAAAGGTCCCAAATTCACTTCCTCTTGGTGTCAGCCAGGCATTTCATGCTGAACAGTGACACACAAAGGGAAAGCCCAGCTCCAAAGGTGCAGGCAAAGGATTCTGGGGTACTCGGCAGTAGGGAGTCTCAGGGCAGGTTTGCACCAGGGCTTCGTCTCTGGAACTCCTCCCCAGCTGGCTGCCCTTGTTGGTACCTCGGAGACCGCCAGCCACATAGGAAGTGATAAGCACACATACCAGCCCTATTCCCACCCACAGGAGGGCAGGAAACAGCAGGGACACAAGAGGGTGGGGCCACCCTTCCCTCCAGGATGTCCAAGCCCCTCGCACCAGCACCATCAGAGCCATTCAGGTACCTGCTGCACACCCATAGCTGGGCCTGGCCTTGAAGGCAGCGGACAGCAGCTGCCCCCACAGGTGATGGCAGGGAGGCTGAGACCTCAGGTCCTCCAGAACCTGCTGCAGGGAGAGCATTTCCCAGAAATGCTAGTCTGCCCATCTTCCTCTTCTGACAATGTGACAAGGACCCACAAATGAAGAGAGAGGGTCTGCTTCACTCCCCCTCTTGAACCTGGGTGGGCTGAGATTGTGTCAGAAAGGACACCACGTCAGTAAATGTTTATATTTAAAATTATTACAGTACAGACACATTGCATTTATCCCCCTCGAAATGCCTCCCCTCACACAGACACACTCTCTTGTGGCAGCCCCCTTCCCAGAGCATCATCACTGCATCAACATCCTGAATCATTTAAAATGTTTCCTTTCCAAGGTCATTTTGACTTTGGGGCAGAGATCACACAGTACCAGGTGTCCCGTGAATAAGGTAGATGAGGACACAGAGTCCTGGTTTTAAGAGGCTGTCTTTCCTTCTATTGGACAGAGCCATTCAGTGGCATTCACAGTATTTTTTATCACACTTCAGAAAGACACTCAGGAAAGAGAACTCCAGAGCTGCTTCAGAGAGTGGCAGGAACAAGGGGCTGAGTGCGTTCGAAGTCAGGGGAGGACTCTGAGAGATCTGTGGCAATGTGTCTTTAACTGTAACTTTTAAAAATGTAAACATCCAAGATGTATTTTAATTATGGTTCATATGTGACTTTGAAGGTTGTCACAAAGATGAATAGCTCCCAGCTGCAAAGGTCACTTGTCCTTTGCACTGGCCTCCCCACTGTGAAAAGTAGTGTGGCCTTGGGGATGGACACCTTCCCTCCATGCTGGACCGGCCTTCACATCTTCCCTATGACCATGCTACCTTGTGGAGACCAAGTCCTAACCCTGAACATCCGTGGTCCCTGCTGCAGAGTGGAGATGATGCAGCTGTCACACCCAGGGTGCCCACATGGTCCTCTGGGAAGTGGCCAGGATAGCCCAGCAGCTCAGAAAACCCTTCCTTGGCCCAGGAAAGCTGCAGAGGGTACAGGTGTTGGCCAAAAGTGGGAGTCAGAAGTCCTGGGTCCTGAGCAAAACTCGGGAAGTACAGCCTGGCACAGTGGTGCACACAGTTAGTCCTGGACACTTGATAGGCTGAGGCAGGAGTAACCCTTCACACAGCACTTCAAGGACATTCTAAGTAATATAGCAGACTACATCTCAAAACACCAAAATCTACCAAGTGGTACCGAAACCCCATTTCTTAGATCTCCACGCCACCATGTGGACAAAAGTCTTCCTACAAATCAAGCAGCTGGAGGACTCAAGCGTTCACTCTACAGACACAGCAGGCAGAGACTCACGCAGAGCGGAAGGGATGTGGAAGCCACTGACACATCCCACCTGTGGTCCCTTGGTGTTTGTGTCCCTCACATGGTGTCCGGGACAGGAGCCCCCATACCCCTCCAGAACAGTGCTGAGGATTCCTAGGACACAGGCTGCCCTCTGAAGTTGGTCTGACTGCACCACTAGGAGGGAGGGAGAAGGGGGAATGAGGGGAAGGAGAGGGAAGGGAAGAAGAGGGCAATGTGGGGGGGGGGCGTGGTGGAGAGGAGGGGAAAGGGGAAAAAGGAAGGGAGGGCAATACAGAGTGATGGGTGAAGGGAGGCCTGAGGCTCAGCATAGGAGCAGTGCAGCAAGCTGAATTCCCATCCCAGACAAACAGGGAGCGCACATGTGCATACACACACATGTGCGTGTATACACAAACCCAGTCTCTGACAACTAAATTACGCTCAGGCTGGGCCCTGGCTGAGAGGGTCACCAGCTCTACCAGCAGACCCACAGGGAGAGGAAGTGTCTGCGGACTAGGGACCACATCCCTGGAGATGGGAACGCCTTCCCCCTCAGGTCCCTCCCCATGTCCACAAGTCTGTCTCTGGCCCACACCCCCACCAAGCAGGCTCTGTAGGCCTGCGCCCCAGGACCCACACATCTACGCCCTCAGGTGTAGACTTCTTTCTCTCTCCAACCCATTCCTCTCCCTCTACCACCATCCAGCCCAGGCCCCCATCCCTGCTCAAAACCCAGTTTGTCCATGCACCCTGCCAGCTTGAGCTCCCATGTGTAGCAAGCCTGCCACACTGGGGGGGTGGACAGGACTCAGTTTCACCCAGACTTGGCAGACACAGAAGGGGTACCAAGACCAAGAACAGGTGTGCCCCAGGACAGCAGGTGCCTCTTCCGTACATGAATACCCAGCAGGATGTGGGGGCTCAGGATCCCATGCACCTCACCAGACCCCATTTCCCTGCTCAGGGCCCTGAGCTTAGCACCAGAGCCCTCAAGGAGGCTAAAACTCAGGGTCAGGAGAGCAGGCAACCAGGAGCAGGAAGAGTTTTGGACCAAAACGTGGGATTTGTCTCACCATTTGGTCCAGTGGTATCATTCTCACCCAGCCTCACTCACTATGTGCCCAATTCCAAAAAGACCCAAAGTCCCATGCACAGCCATATGGCAGTGGCTTTGCACAGGGGCATCAGGAGCCTGGTCAGTGGGTGTCACAATGGAACTGGGTGGCACCAGAGCACCAGCACAGCTTCCTGCCGGGAATTCCACTGCCCTCCCTGGCCCTGAGGAACCTGAAACCCAGGCATGGAGCCCTGGGAGCAGGCAGGCAGGGGTGGGCTGCAGGACATCACCACAGACACCTGCTGTGTGCACACAACCTCTCCCTGGTAAGTTCTTACCCTCACCGCTGCAACGTGACCCCAAAAGTCTCCTGCCCCTATCCCTGATGACCTGGCAGACTGTGGGCCCAACAGTCCCAAGTTCTGAGGAGGGGCTACCTGGCTCAGGATCAGGGCATCATCAGCCGGGTGACAGTGGCCCAGCACATGGGACACCACACTCCCATCTGAGGTGTAGGCCTGAGCTCTGGTTCTGTCCTAACTCCACAGCATTACCACTGAGGAAGCCCCAAGTCCTCGCCATAGTCTTCCAGGGGGAAACTGAGGCACAGAGAAGCTGCTCTTCACCTACACCAACAGGCATTAAGAATTCCAGCCCCAACTTAAACTCCAGTACTGTCCCAGGCTCCCAAGCCTGCTCCTAATCCTGGGCTGGGCATGGGAATACAGCCCTGCTATGGACTTCTCTCCCTTCCCGGCCTTGAGCCTGAGATGGGAAACGACCACTCAGTCATCCAGCAACCCCTGCCTGGCTCTTCGGAGGGCATATGCAGGTCCTCTGTTCATTCCCAAGACTCTCTGCCTGGGCCTGGAGGCCACTCCATTCAGGAGGGGAAGGGCCTAAATTGGAGGAGGGAAGTCAAGTCGTTTCCTCTGAAAACACTGCTCATCCCATCTGGGCCCTTTTCCCGCATGTGGCTCCAGGTCAGAAATCCCCTGTGGTCGCAAATCTGCCACTTCCTCCTCCTCCACCCCAGCAATCGCGCCTGGAAACTTTATAAAGGAAGCGGTTGCCCTGTGGCCAATAGCTGGAGGAGAGGAGCTTCTGGTCAAAGTGATTCAGCAAGAAGCCGAACCTGCTGCAAGTACACTGCCTGCCCGCCCTTAGGTGCACAGGGTTGTACCGGCAGCACCCGGGCAGCTGGCACTGTCCTAGCCATGTGGGCAGCAGTACTGTTCACCTTCTGCTGCCTCACTGCGGGCTCCTGCAGGGTTCCCCCAGGTAAGAGGACATCCCTGTTACTCATCCCCTGGGGGAAGGTGGCTCAGGTCCTGTACTCCCTGGTCCTTCTAGGCCCTCACTGGCTGGAGCCCCCAGGGGACCAGGGCTGGGAAGGGGGCATAAAATGGGAGGGCGGGGAGCAGCAGGCAGTGGGAACGGGGTCACAGAGCTCTGTCCCCAGCAGGGAAGCACCCTGTGTGTCCTGTGTTCCTGGGCTTAGGGCCCTGCGCAGCCTGAGACCACTCTGGGAGGGAACAGAGCAGAAACTGCACCCATGGGGAGGGCTTCTCTGCTGGCTTTCTGCCCCTCTGCTGCTCCTCAGTTCCCTGCAGTCTACATCTGAGGGCCAGTGAGTGGGACAGGGAAAAGGAGGACAGGAGGAGGAAGAGGATGCCACAGTGCCATAAACGAGCCAGGCCAGGTGGCTTGCCCAGCACACAGCCACATGTCCCCAGCAGCAAAAGACTGCAGTGGCCTGGGCCTGGCAGGAGGCATCCCACAGCAGTCACTTCTGAAACGGTGCTCAGGAACAAAGCCCCTCTGGATGGCCCTGCAACCCAGGGATGCGGTGGAACAGGAGTTGCCCTACTGAGTACAGTTCTTCTCTATTGTTGGTGTGGCTGGAGAGACACCCAGGCTACCATGAAGTCAGAGCCCAGAGACCCCTGGATGGGAGGCCACAGGGCAGGACACTCCCAAGACAGCACAGGCACACCCTCACACCCAGGGCCTGTGGCAGACGGATGTCCTGGGGCCACATCCTGTGCACACCCCACTCCCTACGTTTGTTCAGTGTCCTCTTCACACCCCGAGAGTCCCCAGGTCCTAGAGGACTGCACAGCAGGCAGAGGACAAGCTACCTCTCCCCAAGGTCTGTGTTGGCTCTGAAGCTAGCATGGGGTGGCTATGGCCATGCACATGGAATGCACATGGTGGGGAAGGTGTGCTGGCCACGTGCATGGGTGAGGGGCACTGGTGAGAGCCACAGGCAAAGAGCAGACAGGTGAGGGGTAGACAGGTCAGTGTGCACAGGGGAGGAGCAGACAGATGACAGGCATACAGGTGAGTCTGCACAGGTGTAGGCAGATGGCACTGGGGCAGTAGGGGCAAAGAATGGGGCAGTCCCCAGGCAGAGGCACAGGCCATGTACCCTGCTGACCTGGTTCTTCGTTTCTCTCAGATTTTCATTCCCTGGACCTTAACTTGAGAATCTGGCCAGGAGCTCCCAAACCAATAAAGACTAATGACCCCAGAGCCCTCAGAGCGGCCAGGTACAGTGTAGAGCAGTTCAACAACTACACCAACGACATCTTCCTGTACAAGGAGGCCCACATCAGCAGAGCCCTGGTGCAGGTGAGGCTGGCACACAGGCTGGGTGCCCCACCCACAGAAGTCTCATTCTCCTGGGCCCCTGCATCGAGGCCTGGAACAACCCCTCCTCCACATCTCAGCCCAGGTACTTGGCACCAGCTGCCTCAATGTGGTCCCACTGTACCCTGGCTCAAACCTGCTCTGCAACAGGCTGCAGAAGCTCTATGCTTCCCAGTGACAGCCATGCTCATCCCTGTCAGCATGGCCAGGTGACAGTCACAGGACTGGGAGGGAACACCTCGGGAACCACCTGCAGAGTTCAGGGACCCTGAGAAGGCTGGCTTGGAATAGCACTCGCACTCCACACATGCAGTGCAGCAGGGGAGAGGAGATGGAGACCAGAGGCTGGAGGTGTGTCCAGCAGCACGGCCCAGGTCTCGAGGTCTTTTCACTGTCCTTGACGCATGAGCTCAGGTGCACATCTTCTCACCTTAGGAAATCTGCTGCCCACCACAGCGGGGGGGAGGAGGGAGGTGTCAGCAGCCCACCCTAGGGCTACAGGCTTGTCTGGGTGAGGTGCCCAAGGTCCTCCATGGGAAGATGTTACAGGGTCCTTTGTACTTTAGGGAGGCTGGGGACTTTGTTTCACAAGGTACTGGAGAGCCTGAGGCTAAATTCTGAGCAACTCTCCCTCTCCTGCTCCACAGGACAGGAGATGAGCATGAGCAGACCTAGCTCCCAGGAGAGGCACAGGGTGCAGGGCTGGGTACTCGGCAGGTACCATCCTGACACCTCAGGCTCCTGGGGCTCTGGCACAAGTCAGCAGCTGAAGTGAGGGTCAGCATGGCTTTGGCTGGTGCCCTTCCAAATGAAGGCTCCAGGCAGCGGAGCCACCCTGGGCAGGATGGAGCCTGGCAGGTGGGCGGCTCAGGCCCTGTGCTTCCAGCTCCTCACGGCTCAGGGTCCACCTGAGCCATGCTAAGTCCCAGGCTGCTGCCCTTGCCCCCCAGGTGGTTAAAGGCCTAAAGTACATGCTAGAGGTGCAAATCGGAAGGACCACATGCAGGAAGACCTCGCACCCTGCTCTGGACCATTGTGACTTCCAAACCAGCCCCTCCCTGCAGCAGGTAAGCACACAAGGCTACCTACCTGCCTACCTGGCACTCAGGGGAGGCAGCATCTGTCCCCCGCCTCCTCAGGTATCAGAGACCCAGAGCCCACCAGCGTGACTGGGTAGGTGGGGCCCAGACAGGAAGGGAATGGGTCTGAGTCCCTCCTTTTTTCAGACTTTGTGGTGCTACTCCGAGGTCTGGGTCATCCCTTGGCTGCACTGGGTCCAGGTGCCAGTGCTCCGTTGCCACTGACTTCGTCTCTGGATGCAGCATATGCTGTGGACGCCTGCACTTCAGCCCCAAGGTCACAGCCTGCTGGCAGACAGATTTGTAGTGGCCTGGGGTGACACATGCATCTTGTCTCAGTGATCACTAAGATCGGTGTCACTGTCGCAATGGCCCTAGAACTGGTCCTGGGATGGGTAGTGCTGGGGCCCCCTCTCCACCAAGAGCCCAAGCCTATCTCCTGGTCCCAGATGCAGATCACCAGCTGGAGGAAGGCAAGCACACTATGGATCATGACCTTTCCTGGGAAAGTGTAAGAATGAATAGAGACAGATGACTTAAAACAATGTTGTGCGTCACTTTTTCCCTATGCTCTGGGGACTGAACTTCCAAGCCCAGCCAATTTTATTTTTTGAGACAGGGTCTCAATATGTTGCCCAGGCTAGCCTCAATCTCCAGTCTTCCTACCTCAGTTTCTAAAGCAGCTGGTATGAGAGCCTCATAACTAGGTGTCACCTGTGGCCAGGGGGGCCAGGAGGTCCAGGCAAGGTCACCAGGCCCTTCCCTCAAGGTCTGGCAAGTGTAGGCTGCTTCCCTGGGACTCTGGGGGCCTGCCCAGGTTTAGATGCCCTGAAGACCCAACAGCCAGTGAGCAGGGAGCAGGACTTCCCTGTTCTTTGCCGCCTGGGGGCCGACAATTTAGATGTGAGAAGAGCATAGGATACAATCCACATCACACCCCAGCTCTCTTTTTCACCCAGTTCCAAATTCTCACTCATTGGAAGGCTATGCTGCCTTGTGTTCTGCATATCACTTGGGCACAGGGAGCCAGCGAGCCAGCACACAAGGCCCAGTGTGCCCCAAGAGCAGGGCTTTAGCAAGAATCCTGTGGAACCCACAGTTCAGGAGGTGGTAGAGGCAGAGGGCAGCCAGGATGGGAGCATAGGCTCCTGCCCCACTCAGAACCTCTCAGCTTAGCCCCATCTGGGGACAGGAACTCGCCCCTTCTCACTGAGGAGAGACCCTTGGCCATGTCCCCCCCGCCCCCAACACACACCTGTCACAGCTCTGTGGGCAGATGCCAGGTGAGGTTTACAGACATACCACCCATCATTATTCCAACCCACCACGGGAGAAATGTCTCTCCTCACCAGCCTCAGGACACAGGGAGGACAGGGGCTGGCCAGGCTTCTGGAAGCTACAATGCTCTGCAGAGCCACCCTGGAGACATTACTCCCATGCCAGCAAGCAGCTACAGCTATGTGCAGGACCACTTACCCTTCTGCCATGCCCCACACCACCTGGGCCCTGCCACTGCAGGCAGCCCTGCTCCAGGCATCACCTAACGGTGACCCCAAGGTAGAGCCAAATCCAGGTGACAAGGACACCTGGAGATGGAGAGGACATTGACCAGTGATAGCCTGGGGTCCCATGCCACCAACCCGGCTTTGTCTATTTTGTTAATTTATCAGCTTTACACCAACAGAGGGAATCACTGTGACACTCCAGGGATGCTGTGCCACAGGGTTGTCCCTGAGGAAACAGAAGGTTACAGACTCAGCTCCTACAACACACCAGGCTTGTGAGCAAAACTGCAGCACTCCTGTTCAGTGCTCATACTAACCAACCAACACGCCAAGAGCCACTCTGCGGGTGCAGTGCTTTCCAGGCTCCCTGCAGGAGCGGACCTAGCCAGATGGGGCAGGCTCTGACAAATGCCCTGTAAACCTTACTCCTACCGTGCCCAAGGGACACCAGTGATGCCCAGGCTACCCCAAGACCTGAGCACCCCACAGCATTCTGATGTGCCAGTTAGAGCTGCACGCTGCGGCCACCTGTCCCAGTCCAGTCACACAGCATATTCTGAGGACCAGCTGTGATCCTGGGTAGTTATAAACCTGGCACTCTAGTTCCTCCCTCCTTACAGAACAGGCATCAGTGTGCACAGCCAGGAGTGGTACATAGCTCTAGGCCCAACTACTCAGGAGACTAAGGCAGGAGGATCACTTCAGCCCACAAGCTGGCAAGCACTATAGGCAACACAGCAAGAACCCATCCCAAACAAAATCTTTTGAACTACATAGCACACTACAAGAGCATGCTGATAATAAAATCTCAAAGGGGTGCTGGGAAAGTTTGTAGCTGAATCCTAAGTTTTTGTGACAGAAAGCAGAGGCTTGTGATGAATCACCCGAATAATTTCCAAATCACAATACCCATAGACCTTACAGAAGGCCTGTTCATGCATGAGAAGCTTGCTGCGCCTTAGTTTGCCAGTCTACAGACAACACAGGAAATGACACTTGAGATGGAACCAAGATCTCAGTCAGAATTGAGATGCCTCTGCTGCAAACTGTGAAGACGACTCACCAGCTTCTCACCAGTGAGAAGTAAGCGCAGAAGAACCAAGATGCTAGCCACAGGCACAGGGCTCAGAGACCCTGATCACCTCACAGTGAGGCCCAGGCTATCTGGAAGCCACCGCACTTCCTCTGTGTGGGCCATGAGCAATGCTAACGGCCGTCCAGGCAGGAAATGTTGCCTTATCTGGCTGTGGGGTTCTCACCTCTACTTGTGGTAGTTTATTCCACATGATGCCATCCAAAGAGTGACACACAGAAGATGCAAGGTCACCCCACCCAACCGTCACCCCACAAAACAGGCGTGACCATGCTGGGGTAGGCGAAAGATGAGGCTAATGGCTCCATTACCACAAATGTTCACATCTCTGAATTTCGCTAACATTACTCAAACTGGTACCCCCACTGAGTTATTGCGAACACTCGCAGAGACATCCCCAAAACATTCCCAAGCCCCCACAAAAGCAGCTGGTGCTGCAGGACCCAGCCCAAGTTCACCCATGGGGACCTGGCATGGAGGCAGGACTGCAGGGTTCTTCAGTTTTGCTGCACAGCCCTAACACCCTGGCCAGGACAGCACTCCCAGCAACGTGGAGGGATGAAACTTCACTGTGAAACGATTACAGTAGAGAAGAAACTCCCAGGCCATGCCATCAGAAGCAAAGTAAGTTAAAACTGTTTATTATTATCAAATTAAGACCAGTGTGTCGACCTGTCAAGATACACAGCAGTTGGGGTTGTGACACTAGCGGAAGATAGGACATCACACATGCACTGCCTACGTGGGGCCCAAGGGACAGAACAAAGGAGAGGCAGTGCATTCCCAGATGGACTCGCAGTCGGGGTCAGACTCAGAAGAACCCAAATGGGCCCACTAGCCCTAGATCTGCAGTCCTTTTCACCTCGTCTACTGAGGTCTGCAAATATCTGGTGTGGTTAGAAGGACTCTACACACAGTGGGGGGCACCCAGGCTGTATCTCGAACTCACACTGTGCCCCCTGGCCCTTCTGTGCTGCCCTGAAAGTACATGTCCCCCTCAGAAAGGGATACTGAAACCTTAGGGCAAGGCCAGAGCAGCAGTGAGCTCTGGCAGCTTATCAGTGACTCTGGCCATCAACTCTGCGCTCCATGGATAGTGCAAATTTCCCACATCCTAGAGAAAGACAGTCCCTAGAGACATTACTTTTTAAAAGGAAATGGCTTTCTATGAATGATCTTCCCCTAAAAGGGAAGTCACTCCCAGGAGAATGGTCCAGTCAGGCTGTAGCCACCTTTCCATCCACTCCTCTGAGGACCCACAGGTGCTGGGACAGCTGCACCCATGGCTGCTCCGGCTCCCTGGCACACACAGATCTAGACTGACTGCAGGCTGAGCCTGCAGAGAAAAGGCGACCGGAAGGAGCCCAGGTATAGGTGTCCGTCATGCTCATGCACCTCACTGATGTAGGTGGCCACCAGCCCTTCAGGGTCGTGCAGGCTCCTCCGGAAGGCACCACTGTCACTGAGCTCCAGAACCAAGCTGTACCGCGGCACGATCTTCAGCACTGTCTCCTGACTCAGCAGCTGGGAAGAAGCACAGAGGCCCACTGACCTGAGAAAGCCACACACAGGCACCCCACAGCCCTCAGCTCCAGGTGCCTGCACTCACACACCAAGCCACAAAAACACATGGGCAGGGGGCTGGGGATTTAGCTCAGCGGCATAAGTGCCTGCCTTGCAAGTGTGCGGTCGTGAGTTCGACCCCTGATACCGGTAAAAATGAAAAAGACAAAAAAAAAAAAAAAAAAAAACCACACATGGGCAGGACAACTCTGCATAGCCATGCTAAACATCCAAGGTCAAGTCCCATCAGTGGAGTAACAATACCGAGGCCAAGGCTGCTGGTGACCTTGACCCAGCAGAATGCGGGGTCAAAGCCAGCAGTTTCAGGGAATCAACAAGTCCCCTGGCAAGGAAGAAAGAATGTTAGGCATGCAGGATGCAAAGGATGGAGATCAGGAGAGCTCCTCTCAAAAGACAGCTGGAAAGTTTAGTGTGCCTTGTGACACAGCCTTGGACAGGCTAACTCTGATGCAGGGATGCCTCCTCACATGGGCACAGGCCATGGGGCTGTCAAGAAGGCTGAGGAGGGCTGGGGATTTAGCTCAGTGGCATAAGCGCCTGCCTTGTAAGCAAGCAGTCATGAGTTCGATCCCCAGTACCAATAAAAATGAAAAAGACCAAAAAAAAAGAAAAAAGAAGGCTGAGGCAGGAACCACACGGAAGGGGTGACGGCTACAGAGAGCACCCGGCAGGAAGCTGCAATGCAGGGGTGGATGACAGGAGTGGAGAACAGCAGATCTCTATCCCAAGGCTGCCATGTGTCCCTGTCCAGGAAATGTGGACAACTCTAGAAGGCTCACCAGCAGGGACAGGCTACAGGACAATCTGCAGGACTCCAGAGCCTCTCATGGCACGCAGCCTTCCTCCCTGCCTCTTCCTCTTACCCAAAAGATGGCAGCCATCCTCTTGCTCCAAAAAAGCCTCTGAAACTTCTACCTACACAGCCAGCACTGAGTACTGTACACCCCTTCAGCTGCTGCAGACTCCAGTCAGGATCCAGACAGCACCGGCCGCTGAGGCAAGAGCACCACTCTCGGCCTGGCCCTGGAACCTCCAAACCAAACCTCACACCAAGGGGCCTCAGAACCAACCCCTGTGTGTGCACCTGACCTTGGGTCCGGACCAGCCCCAGCCCCACAGCCAGCAGGGTTGCACCAAGATGCCCTCAGTAACACATCCAGGGATGCCTGAGGTTGAGCAGGGTAGGTTGCAAGGGACCAGGACCACAATGACCAGAGGAGGCTTCAGAGCTTAGGGACAAGGGTGTCCCTGCAGCAGGGTAGATGGCACAGGCCTTAGGGCCCATGGATGAGAGGTGCTAAAGGGGCTGTGGGTGCTACTGGCAGGTAGGTGGTGTTTTTATAGAAGTAGGGGTGTCAGAGGGCCAAGGGCAGAATCTATTGATCCTGACCATGGGGTGGGGGCCTCAGAACTCAACAAGCAGAGGTGACAGAAGGTTCTCAAAAACAGTAACAAGAAGCAAAACAGGGGGCATGGAGAGTCAAACATTTAAATTTACATTTCAGGATGAAGAATAAAGTATTGTTAAGTAGACATCACAACTACAAAGATTATGAGTAAAACTTTTCAGGGTATAAAGGTAAAAAAAGATTATTACTAGATTAAATTTTCATTGTATTTGGGGCTATAGTTCTAGTTACCTTGAAAATCATCTTTTTGATCCAGGGCTTGTCCGACAGGAAGTCCAGCATGGAGAACCCGGGGTTCTGGCGGATGACGGACATGGCCACCCAGTAGCCCCCAGAGCTGCTAGGCCGGATATTGTCAGGAAATCCGGGCAAATTCTCCACGAACACATCAGCCCCACCTTTCATCAAGCCCGACACATAGACCCTGCAAAGTTCCACACAGGCAATGAGCACAGTTCCAGTCAAGAGAAGATGCTTCAGCCAAGCAGCCAACAGGTCCCAGTTCAGGCACAGGCATGGAACCACTGCAGGGGTGTCCCTCAAAAGCACCCAAAGACAAGCAGATAGGGAACAAGGCCCAGAGTGTAGGGAAAGGAGACCTGGCTATGCCAGCATTAAGTTGAAAGCCTGGACAATGCAACTCTCAAGGGGCTAGAGTAGTGGAGGAAGCCCACCCTTGTGGAGTGTGGCTTCCACCTGCAGGATACCACGTAAGGCACCCACTGGTCCCCAGACCCTACCCACCTGGTCTCCACCTGCAACAACACCAGGCACCAGGGGACACTGCACACACCTGCGTATCCTTGCCATGGTCGTTTCAGCCACCAGGACAAAGTCCTCCTCAGGAGATAACTGTACCCCATTGGGAAACTGCAGCTGGTCCAGGAGCACCCGTACCTCTTGGGTCTCAGTGTCATACTCCAGCAGGCTAGGAAGTAGGTATACATGGGAAAGTATGTATGCTTGCAGCCAGCCCTGCTCCCCTCTGGGCCAGGCCTGGAGCTGGGTCAGCCCCGGGAGGCCAGCACTCCAGCTGCAGGCTCTCTAATGGTCTACCTGTCTGTTTATACCCCCCATGAAATACAAGCCAGTGCTGTTTTATTTCCTTAAAGAGGAAGTGAGGGTGCCTGCTCTCTTACCAGTTCCAAACCCATCAAGACCCTTCTCAGGGGCCGAGGGCTACACTGAGGAACACATCACAACTCCAGTGGCTGTCGGTCTGTGGAGTTACCGCTGGGCACTGGCTGGGGAAGGACGAGTGCACACTTACCGCCCATCATCGGTGCCTTCCATAACCAGCAGCAGGAAGTCTCGTCTCTGCCACTTGCTGCTGGAATCCGTGAAGTAAATCTTCCGCCCATCACGAGTGATGGTAAGATCGTTCACAAAGGACATCTTCCTTCCCTCAATGGGCATCTCAGAGGACAGCAGCAACTTCACTTGCCCTGAAATGAGAAAGAGAAACAGAAAGAAAAAGACTGGCTTCCAAGGACAGGTGCCCACAGATGGATGGGTACCCAAGGACAGGTGCCTAAGAGACCACCATGGGGCTCTCGGCACGAACCTGCACTGAGAAAGCTGCAACCCTAGTCATAATGACAGGACACCCAGTCAGGGGACAGACAGGGAGAAGGAAGAACAGTTGAAAGATAAAAAGAAAAAGGGAACAGCAGCAGACAGAGATGGAAAAATAAAGAGAGAGCTAGAAAGGAGTTCTAACACCCTTACAGCAAGTCCTTCTGAGACCTAAAGACTAAAATTCAATTGTCTGGGAGGTCAGAGGAGAGCCTACAGAAACAGGGACCCCAAGGCTTGATGAGTGGGAAACCTAAGTAGGTCCTCAGCAACTCTAAGGAATCCTATTGAGTCACCCATACATGTGTGGAAGATCTGAAAACCAGTCCCTGTGACCTACGTTTCTGGGGGTTGACTTCGAACAGCCCCTTGTACGCATCAGCCACGAATAGAGTGCCGTTGGGTCCCACACGGATGCCCAGGGGTCTCCCACAAGCAGGCTCGTCGTCACGGGTCTCTAGGAAGAAGCATACAAGTGCTGGGGGCTACAGAAGCTGCTGTACTTGCCACAGAGTCCAGTGCCTTACCCCTTACAGGACATACTTGGGGCTGTACACAGCAGGGGCAGGATGTTAACACCAAACTGTGGGATACTGGTATGCTCACTGCAGAGAATTCACTGTGGGCTCTGTGGGGTTTACTGTGGCTGCCTAGTATCCACATTCAGTGAAACAGGGCAAACTGAGAATCCAACCAGAGTGTAAGCCTGCCTATGAAACTATAGCATGGGTGCCTAAAAAGCTGCTCCCTAGATGTCAGTAACAATTAGACCTGAGCAGGTCTATGGTGAATTTTACTTTGCTTTTCATTCGCTTATGTCATTTTGTGTTGTGTCCACCTCACATTGAAAATGTAACACTTGTATGAAAATAAATTGCTGTATAAATGACATACAGGACTGGGGTTCAGCTCAGTGGTACAGTCCTTGCCTGGCAGGCACAAGGCCTACGGTCCAGTCCTTTCACCACAAAGAGAAAGTCTAACATAAAATATACGTAAAAATAGAAATAACTAGTAAGAAGTCATGGGCTCTCAGTTTATAAACAGTGAAGTTCTACTCTAGGTTTCCAAACTCTAACTGATGTAAGGGTGTTTAGATTTTGAATGACACTGCTGAACTCCTGAGATGCTCCTGTAGGAATTACATGTAAGCACCTGAAAATGACAAAACCACCTGCTGTTTTACCAGCACTACCACAACACCCATCAACCTCTGAAGTGACCCCAAAAATGACTTCAGGTCCAGTGGACCAGGGAAGGGGCAGGGCCCCAAAAAGTAACACACAGGGCCCAGAGACCACATGTCCAACACAGAACTATTGGTGACTCTGAGCATGCCCCTCCAACAGATGCCCAGCATTTTCTCCACAGGTAAAACTGCCTTTCAGGAAGGGCAGTTTCACCTTGGATACACTTCTGAGCAACAGTCCCAACTTACTGCATGCGCCTGAGCCAAACCGGGCGACAGTCTCTACTTCACCATTTTCAAGTTTTAGGACCCGGCCGTCAGCTGTACCAGTGAACATCACATCTGTTTATAAAGCAAGCAAAAAAGGGAAAGGTCATCCAGGGCTGAGCTAGAAAATACGACCACACCACCTTCTCAGCAGAGTAGGATGGCATTTTGGAGGTTAAGGGAAAGGATGTCACAGAATATTAAGAGGCCAGCCAGCCAGCGTGAACCAGAGCCTTGGTGTGTCACATGTGAGTCAGTGAACCGAGCAGCCAGGCCTCCCTCCTCCATCCCCGTGATCCAGGATGGCGCTCAGTACTTGGCGCAATCATGCCCACCTCATGACAGGGTCCAGCAAGGACCCTGCTCTGCTAGGAGTCCTGGGGCAAAATGAAAACACAATGTACAAGCAGCACAAGTACTAAATCTACACACAGAGACAGAGCAAAGGAACACAGACAGCCCTGATGAACAAATCCCTACTCATCCCACAGCTTTTAAATGCACATGGCACTCTAAAGCAAACACTACAAAATGTAACAAGAAATTCAGAAGTGATATGCTAAGAAGAGAGAAAACAGTATCACAAAAAGTGTTCAATTTAAAATATAAAAGACAGAAAGAGAAGACAAAAACAGAAACAGAACACAATGACATTATGGTAGATATTAACCCAAAATATCAATAATCACTTTAAGCATCAACAGTCTAAACTGAAAGAGACTGGAGCAACAACAAAGACCTGGCTTTGTCTTGTTTACAAGACACGCACTTCAGCCCAGAGATACATACAAATGAGTAGCACAAGGATGCAGAAACACGACCACTTGGACACTCACTACTTCAGTCACAGCAACTACAAAGCCAGGGAAGTGGTGAGAGGTGGAAGAACAGCAGATAAAGATAAAGGAATCAGTTCTCCTAGGAGACCCAGTAATCATAAACGTGATGAGCCTCCCAACACAGCATCAAAGTAGGTGAGACAAACACTGATAAAACTGCAAAGAGAAATGAAATCTACTGTGACAGAGAAGACTGGCATCTTCAGCACCCTTCTTCCAGAAATGCACGGACAGGCAGTCAGTAAGGTAAGGCTGAGTCTGATGGCACCTCCACCAGTCACCAGTGCAGCTGACATCAGCAACAGTGGCTTTCATGCCCACAGAGACACAGCTGAGAACTCAACCAGTCACAGTCAAGTGCATTTTTTTAACTGAACACGAATCATTTTTTATCATCATTCCTGAAACACAACAGTACTTACATTGTATTTCCATTGTCTCGGGCACTGTAGGTGATTGAGAGATGATTTAGCATAGAAAGGAGGACATAAGAACTCTGAGGAAACACCAGACCATTTAATGCAAGAGACTCACACCTCTGGCGTCCCACAGCCAACTCTTGGCAGAGACAGAGACCAACTGTGCCCATTCCCCTCAGATTCACATGTGACATTCACCAATCCTGACCACATTCTGGAATATAAGACACACTCAACAAATTTTAAAAATCATAAGTCACATAATGTCTGTTCTCAGACCACACTGGAATTAAACTAGAAATGAGTAACGACAGTAGCGAGAAGGATAGCTAGAAAATCCCAAAATTCTTAGCAATTAAACTATATGCTCCTAAATAACATATAGGTCAAAAAAGAAATCTCATGAGAAATTAAAATATTTTGAGCTGAATGAAAATAATTTACCAAAGTTTTAGGGATGCAGCAAAAGCAGTACTTGAAGAAAAATTTAGAGGACCTGGGCGGGTGGAGTGGGCGGTGCTGCGCCTCGGCCGGTGGCAGCTGCAACAGCTGCCCTCATCCCCACCGCCAGTCCAGTCCTTTCCATGATTAACACTCCAGCTGCTGGAGACGCGTGAGAAAGGAGGCGAGAAACTCCCACCAACTCACAGAGCACGGCTGGAGGATTTAAGGTCGTGCTGATACTGTGATGGCTGATAATGGGAGTCTGCAAATCCCGCGCCTTTAATGCAGCAAACTGACCAGTGGACCCAAGAGGAAAAGCTGTATTGGCTTTGGGTGACTGCTGGAAATTGAGACCCGGGACCCCGCGAAGCAGCCAGGGCTGCCCTGCTGCGCCAGAGGAGATTGTGAGAAGCTCCAGAGTTCCAAAGCCGGGCACTGTGCAGTTTTCTGACCGTTCCACGCTGTGTCAGGAAAGCAGTGAAGGCAAGCAGCATAGTGTGCAGTAGACTCAAGAGGAAGACCTGCACTGAGTCCTAGTGAGTACTGGGGACTGGGTCCCCCGGCCACTCTGGCTGGCTGGAAGACATTTTGAAATTAGGCAGAGCCCGCCACCACACTGACATCAGTAACACAGAGAGTCTGGTGGAAGACATCTTGGAGTTGGGCAGAGTGTGCGGCTCAGTGACATCAGACAGTCGCCCCTGGCGTAGAGAGGTCTGGTGGAGGACATCTTGAAAGTGGGCAGAGCCCGGTGCCATATCGGAGTCAGCGACATAGAACTAGTGGAACATGTTCAACTGGTAGAACATGTTCCACTAGTGGAACATGGAATTGGGCAGACCCGCAGCCACGGGGACATTACATAGTTGCTCCTGGCACAGAGAGGTCTGGAAAAGGACAACTGGGATTTAGGCAGAGCCCTGTGCCACGGTGACATTAGCCAGCTGCTTCTGGCACAGAGAGAACTGGCAGGACCTGCTGGGGCAGAACCAAGCCTCTGGTTGGGACCCAATAAGCAGATACAAAATAGTCACGATTCTGTGACACCCACAAAGTGCAGCCTAATTTGCAGATTGACTGGCACAGAGGCTGGAGGCTAGCCTGCACCGTCCCTGCATCCCTGCCTACCCCAGATAACAGCAAATTGGGGAGGACAGCAAAAACTCAAGTCAATGCACTTCTGAAAGGCCCTAAGCAATACAGAGAGGGCCAGAGACCCCCAGAACACTCTAGTCTGAAAGAAACCAGAAACATGACAAGAGATAGAAATTTAAAAAAATCTCCAGCTGCCCAACATGAGAAAATAAGTCCAGGAGAAGTAAACACTGAAGAGAACAAGCACAGTAACCATCCAATACTGGACACAGCATCAGCCAAAATAAAAAAATACCTCCATGACCTCATAGATGAATTTAAAGTAGTACTCCTGATCCAAGCGAGGCAAGATATAAAGAGATTAATTAAAGAAATGACAAGCCCCGCCCAAGAGAACACAGATGGAAGAACTGAGGAAATCAGAAAAGAAAGAGATACTTCTGAAGAAGAGTTTAAACATAACTTAGAATACATGAAACAGATCCAAAGAGATTACCAGGAAACTAAAAACTCCATTGAACACTAGCAAAATGCCTTGACAGAAACTAAAGTCAGCCTTTTGAAACTTGAAAAAGAGATTTAACATATATGATCGTGAAAGAAAAGACCTCTTAAAAATAACAAGGAACCAAAAATTAAAGGCTAGAAGATGACAAAAGGATACATAACTTAAAAATAAAGAATGTGAGTGAGGAAGCAGGAGCAACCAAAAATGAAATACAAAGAATATTCACAGATATATTAAAGCAAAATTTCCCATGTATAGCAAAAAGAAATGATATCCAGATAAAAGAGGCATACAGAACACCAGCTACCTACAACCAAAACAGATCTACACCCAGACATATAATAATCAAGATTCCGGAAATCCACCAAAAGAACAGAGTATTAAAAGCAGCCAGAGAAAAAAAGCAGATTACCTACAACGGGAAAATTATTGAAATAACAACAGACTTATCAACACATTTATCTCTTAAATCAAGAAGGGAATGGGGAGAAATATCCCAAGTCCTGAAAGAAAATAATATGCAACCAAGACTCATATACCCATCAAAACTCTCTCTCAAAATTAATGGAGAAATAAGATGCTTCCAAGACAAGGAGGAACTGTGAGAGTTCATGGCCACCAACCCAACCCTACAGAGAGTGAAGGACATTCCAGAGAAAGAGAAGGGATACCAGCATTCCAGCAACAGTGGCAGAGAGGCCTCAATGAACGGGGTAGACAGTGGAAAGAGGGAGTAAGGTGGACAAATTATAGCAGTAAAGTGGAGTAGCAGACAATGAGGCAGAGACGGTAAGCTATAGGCTTTAGTATAGATAGCTTTGATATACTACAAAAAAAGGCAGAGGTCATTGTTAATAGTGTATCAGGATTTAAAAGTCACAGTAGTCTTATCGCCCTGTTTAGTTTGAATTTAATTTGTTCTGGTCTGTCCACTCATATTGGATTTGAGGTCACAGACATCTGACCCAAACATAGCAGGTTATATCATGGTAACTATCCTTAATTTCCTATTAACTTGAGCTGAAATCCTGTACTACTTATATTGTCTTACTATGACTGATCTTATTTGAATCCAATTCATAAGACCGCAGTTTTGCCTTGGCTGATTTTATTTGAATTTGGTATCAACCCTAAAAGTAGAGGCAACTACTCTGAAGATGACATGATGTAAAAGACACCCATACAAGTATTATTAACAAGCTCTCAAGTCCTACAATGTTTTCAAAGTTGTGCTATTATAAAAATAGCTAGGTAATACTATGTTCAACTATATTAAGCCCAAAGATGTGGACAAGACTATGGAAAATAACAAGAGAAAGCATAGTAATTACAGTAGATCATCTAATATTGTGGTCTTATGTGTCTTTTTCACTGCATGTTTTTCTAGGAATTTGTTTTGCTGTCTTGTTATGATTTGTTTTCCCCCATAATACAGAGAAGATAGATATACATGTAGAAATTCACGCATGAAAAGATTCTTTTAAAAAACTATTTATGGGAACAGATTATATAATGCAATATGTAATGAACAGATACTCTGAAGAAGAAGAGACACTAAGAAACCCACTGCTAATTTTGTAGCATTATGATATAAAGTCTAGCAATATTATTATTAACTGATCAGATTGATATTAGTCTAGTCTCTTAAGTTCAATATTCAGCATATGTAAAGATAAGGACAGCTACTATGAAGAGAATGAGAAATGCAATAGTAGTTATTATTGTCTTTCCTAATGTCAGATTTGAAGACCTAAAAAGCCTTCATCATCC